AATCCATTGTAAAGAGAAAACATTTTAGCAATGAAAAGTCAGAACATTCTATTACACAAAACAAAATGAGAACTTAAGTAAATATTGAAGTGCTCTTAAGATTTAATTATACTACTTGTACTACAAAGTATACTATTATATTCAATTCATGGAATATGGAGTTAAATTTACTTGTGGAGTAGAATAGCATGAAGTGAGAATGAAATTCTTGAAAATGTGCATAGAGAGATGAGCCCTATTAGAGAAATCACTGTAAATAGAGACCAACACCAGAGGAGTGCCAATTAGTTTTTTTTCTTGTTAAGAAAAGAAGCCCAGAATTATATTAATATATACATTTGCTCTTTATATTGATTAAGACTTAGTTAAAAATTGTGATCAACTTTCCATACCTATCAGTTATCCTCTATTGTGCTCAGGTTTCCAACAACTATCAGTTAACCCTATATCTGAATCTAGAGCAATCAGTATGCAACTAATACTTCTCAGTGTCATACTGAGTTTTTCTGGTCTTCATTATCCTAACAACAACAACATCAACCTGCATATGCAGGCAGAAAAATTGGAAAGTCAACAGCAAAAGAAAAAGAGTGGAAGTTTATCCTTTTCATTAACTATTTTTGGCCTTAGATATAATATGAATGTTGAATATACTAACAGTAAAATAGTGCAGGAAATGATAACACATTATTCAACCAATTAATATGTCTGTTAAAAAATTAATTTGTGACCGGATCTGTTAAAGACAACACAACGTTTGTCCGTGAAAATAGCATAGAGAGTAAACCTGGTATTATCTGTTCTGAAATATACATTACTTGTGTTCACATAGAGTGCTTCATTCATCTGGATGACATTTACTTGTATACATATATAAGTTTGATATATCTAACAGGAAAAAAAATTCAACTATACCGAAGTACCTATCACATCTTTCATTCATCTATTTGTCACCGTCACACATTTTCTTCTCTAAATAACAATAGCAATTAAGTTATACCAAAATACCAATCGCATTATCTATTTGTCAACGTCACACTTTTTCTTCTCTTATTGAGGGATTGACACTTTAATACTTTAGGGATAGAGGTGATAATATTGCAAATCAACACTCATTTAACAGGAAAAAAGAAAAAGAATATACAAACTTTATATGATAAAATGGAGAAGTAAATTGATAATTGAAGACAAAGATAATTAGTACTATGGTAGCAATTTAGTGAAGATGTTGTACAAACACTTTAAGTAATCTATCCTAATATTTTACAAATCAGAAATAAACTAAAAGGCATTATAAGATCACGAAGAAGAACCAAAAAAGCAAGAAACGTTGAATCAGATGCCATATTTGGTTTTGAGGTTAACCGTTGTTGGTAGAAAGAAGAGGAAGCATGGAAGGCCAAATAAGGGAATTAACGTCTAAAAATATGTCTATTCAGTTTTTATTCTTTTATGTCTAAAGACGTGACTTTTAAATTTTTTTTAGGACATCTAAATTGGAAAAATTTGAATGAAAACGCTGGAAAATTAAGAAAAAAGAAAAAGCCAAATCCTAGCTGTGAATAGCGCCACATCACCTCTCCATTGTCCCTCAATTATGTATATAGCATAAACNTTTTTTTTTCTCTCCGAATTTCCTAGCCTTATACCCTCTTTGAATGTTCTCCCTCTCTCAGAATCTCTTCCAAGTTTTCTTAGCTCTCTGCCCCTGTATATCCAGTGTATCCAGAGAGTATATCGAGTGTATACCGCTCTCTCCGCCCCCCCCCCCTTTTTTTTTTTTTTTTTTTTTACACGATTCTCGTCAAATCTAATAGACATAGTTCGTTGATTTTATAAAGACCAAAATTATTAAGTTTTAGCAAACTTAAAGGATAAAAACTGTTCAGAGCATCCTTAAGGGACTACTTTGAGCATGTTTGCCCAAGCTTCTAGTAAGCTAAAGTACATTTTTTTTTTTTCAAAAATTGCTTATTTTAGAGAATTTTGGTGTTTGGCTAACTTTTAGAAAAAAAATGCTTTTAAGTAGTAGCATAAGTTATTTTCATAAGCTAAGAGCATGTTTGGCCAAGCTTTTGGGAGGCCGAATATACTTTTTTTTGTCAACAAGTGCTTTTTTGAAAATATAAAATATTTAACCAAGACAGAGAAATGCTTTTTAGCAGTAACATAAATATTTTTTCTTGCTTTTGGAAAGAAGCTATAGGGAAAAGTAGTTTTTTTTTTTACCAAAAATACTTTTGAAACCTTGGCCAAACACAAATTATTGCTCCAAATATTGTTAAAAATTTTCAAACTGAATTACCAAACACAAAAAGTACTTTATTTTTGTTGAAAAATACTTCTGGAAAAAATATTTTTAAAAATAAATAGATTTTTGGAAGCTTGGACAAATATGCTTTACTCCCTCCGATCCACAATAAGTAACCATTTTACCTTTGGCACATCATTAAGAAAATACTAACTCTTAGAGAAAAAAAGATGTATTCGCTAAATTAACCTTAATTAATTGTTACCTTGACACATTGGAATATGTAAATAAGGGCAAATTTTGAAAAAATAAAATTAATTCCTTCTTGAATAAGGAAGGAATTAATTCCTTCTTGAATAAGGACGACAGAGATGCCCGAAGAATGGAGATGGAGTACGATGGTCCCGCTGCATAAGAATAAGGGAGATATCCAAAGTTGCAATAACTACCGAGGCATCAAGTTACTAAGCCATACTATGAATGTCTGGGAGAGGATGGTGGAGCTGAGATTGAGGAAGATTGTGGATATTTCTGAAAATCAGTTCGGATTTATGCTAGGACGTTCGACTACGGAATCTATTCATCTTGTTAGGAGGTTGATGGAACAATATAGGGAGAGGAAGAGGGATTTACATATGGTGTTCATCGACCTAGAGAAGGCTTACGATAAAGTGCCAAGGGAGGTTATGTGGAGATGTTTGGAGGCTAGAGGTGTTTATGTTGCTTACATTAGGTTATTAAAGACATGTATGATGGAGCTAAGACTCGAGTGAGGACCGTAGGAGGGGACTCAGAACAAATTCCAGTTATGATGGGGTTGCATTAGGAGTCAGCCTCAATCCATTTTTATTTGTCTTGGCGATCGATGCGTTGACGCGCAATATACAAGGAGAGGTGCCGTGTTGCATGTTATTTGTAGATGGTATTGTTCTGATTGACGAGATGTGATGCGATGTTAATGGGAGGTTAGAGATTTGGAGGCAGACCTTGGAGTCTAAAGGTTTCAAGTTGAGCAGGACCAAGACAGAGTACTTAGAGTGCAAGTTCAGTGGGACGACTCAGGGTGGGGACGAAGGAGTGAGGCTTGATTCTCAAGTCATCCCTAGGAGAGAGGGTTTTAAATACCTTGGGTCAGTTATATAAGGGAATCGAGAGATCGACGAGGATGTTACACATCGTATTGGGGCGGGATGGATGAAATGGATGCTCGCCTCAGGTATTTTGTGTGATAAGAATATGCTACCTAAACTTAAAGGCAAGTTTTATAGAGCGGTGGTCAGATCGATTATGTTATATGTGGCTAAGTGTTAGCCAATCAAGAACTCCCATGTCCAAAAGATGAAGGTGACTGAAATAAAGATGTTGAGATGGATGTGCGGGGATACCAGACTGGATAGAATTAGAAATGAAGTTATTCGAAATAAGGTAGGTGTGACCCCTATGGAGGACAAGATGTGAGAGACAAGAATTAGATAGTTCGGACATGTGAAGAGGAGAGACGTAGATGCACCAGTGAGGAGGTGTGAGAGGTTGGCCCTGGAGGGCTTGATGAGAGGTAGAGGTAGCCGAAGAAGTATTAGGGAGAGCTGATTAGGCAAGATATGGCGTTGCTCCAGCTCACCGAGGACATGACCATGGATAGGAAGGTGTGGACATTGAGAATAAAGGTAAAGGGTTAGAATATGTCGTCTAGCATTGTCCTTATTTGTAACAGTAGCTTTAGTACATGAGTTAACGTTATTTATGTACTTTCGTATTCTTTGATTTATGTGATTACTTGTCGTTGCTTTCGTTTCGGCCTTCCGATTACAATACTCAATTTAGTTTTGTATCTTTGTATTTTTGATTCGATTTTATAACTGGTGTAATTGTTGTTGCCCTTCCTTTTATTTTTCCTAAGCGGGGGGTCTTTCGGAAACAGTCTCTCTGCCTTCTTGAAGGTAGGGGGTAAGGTCTGCATACATACTACCCTCCCCAGATCCCACTTGTGAGGTTACACTGAGTTTGTTGTTGTTGTTGTTTGAATATGTAAATAGATACTTATTTGAGACCAAAATAAAAAGGTAAAATAGTCACTTATTTGGACAGGGAGGGATTACTGTTTAAGAAACTTTAATTAAAGAAAAGCTATTTAACTTTCTAAATGATTACTTTTTTCTATTCCGAAAAAGTTAATGCGTACTTTTAAAATAAATTAACTTACTGAAGGGCTATTTAAAAGTACAATAAAATCACAACTTATGAAGTTAAAATATTTTAAAAAGAATTTGAAAAAATCAAAATTCTGTAACGATAAATAATGTCATTTTGTTTTAGATAGAGAGGAAAAAAAACATTGTATAACATGCGAAAGATAGCACTGTTTCCTTTTACATAAACTTTTCGCAACATCGATTGGAAGGTCATTTCATATGTGCTCTGAAACGAAAAGCCCATACATCCGATTGAAATAGAAAAATGACCATTTTGAATCACACAAGAGCAAATTTTCTTGAAGAAATAGTAGTTGGACGGCAGCTCTGTCGTTAAGCATCAAACCACTGTCCAAACTCCAAAATAATCTAGTGGGCGTTTGGACATAATATAAGTTTTGGGTTGTTTTTGAATTTTTGCGAGGTTTTCAAATTTTCGAAAATTCAAAATTCATCTTGAAAATTTATGGCAGAACATTGATTTCTGAAAAAATTTTCGCTTAAAAATGAAAAATTTTCAAATGTCTAAATGGGCTCCTAGTACCAACTCCAAACGATAAGTCAAAAAATTGATTCTTTTCTACTCTTTACAGTCGTATGATGGAACCCAAGGGACTGCTTTCGTCTCATATGTCATCTGTTTTCGACTAGTACTATAAAACTCTGCTCCTCCTCATTCCCTTCACCTCACTTTCAACACCCATCTCCTATTTCTTTGTCAAGTTTCAATCTTTTGCGCTATGGCTGCCTCCAACTCTTCTTATGATCAGACTTCAGGTACTCTTTCTCTCTCTCTCTTCTAACTTTTTTTTGTTCTCATTGGATTTGCTCCAACTAGTTTTGATGATTGTCAAACATAACTTGCTCTTTGGTGTTTGTGATATGGTTTTTCCCGAGCAGCAGCTATAGCAACAGCGACTAAGAATGTGGAAGATTTCAAAGTTCATGTGTTCTCATCCTCTGAAGAGGTGAAAATTGTGAAATCTCTCTTTATCTTTAGCTTGACTAGATACTGTTGTGTTTGCCTTATTAGCTTGTTAATGACAATATCGTAGTTTCCAAAGAGCAATTATTTGTTCTGCACCCGTATATATTGGAAAATTGGAGCTAACAGGATGTATAAATAATCATAATAATAGTAATAATAATAATAATAATAATAATAAATGTAGAAAGAGTTGATAGATAATAGTTTTATGATATAACATATGACTTGAGGGCGTTAGTGTAGGCTACCTACATCACACCCGATGAGGTGCTGCCCTTCCCTGGACCCTGTGTGAATGTGTGAAGGGGGTGCTTCGTGCATCAGGCTGCCCTTTTTTCAACTTGAGGGCATGGGAGATTATTTTGCTCCTTTCGATGCAGTTCAAGAGTAAGTATAGACTATAGTGTGGGGGGAGCCTCCTTGAGGGGCTAGTTCTTATGGCAAAATAAGAGCAAGTATAATTGCTTTATCCTCCAAAACAAGATTGTGTTTAAGCCATAAGCAGTGCTCCAGTATATGATAAAGTTAATGATCTAAAGCAAAAGAAAATGAATCAAAGAAGTTCCCCTGTATGTTTGCAATATTTCTACTATATCCATTGATAGTCATCCACATTTTTAGTGTCGTGACTATAGTTAGATGTTTTTATTGAAACAGTTACTTGAAAAGTTGCACGAGAAATGGAATTCAGTGAAGCAGCAACCTTATCCAGCAATGTATTCTAGCATATTTGGCGGAATCATTCTTGATCCAGCAATGATGGTTATTCCAATGGATGATCACATGGTTCATCGAGGACATGGTGTCTTTGACACCGCTATTATTTTGGACGGGTATGAGTCTAGTCTAGTTCCTTAAACAATGATGTTATAATTTGTCAATTGATCTTTGAAAGCATCAAGTTATGTTAGACTCTGGGAATAGTGCGCTTCAATTCCTATAATTCTGATATACAATGCACTTTCCTTTTCAGTCTATTCCCCACCTCCTCCCCCCCCACAATTCCTAATTCTAACTTTATGTTAGAGTCCGTGAGCCAAGTTACTAAGCATTACAATTGTGTGGTTACTTCAGCCTCTCTTTGGTTTTCTAGTGCAGATATCTGTATGAATTGGATGTCCATCTTAACCGCTTCCTTAGATCAGCATCGAAAGCCAGAGTCGCGTCTCCATTTACATTTTCAGAACTTAAAAGCATTCTAATTCAACTTGCTGCAGCATCAAAGATGAGGAAAGGCACTCTGAGATATTGGTTGAGCGCAGGGCCTGGGGACTTCTTACTCTCCCCAGCTGGTTGCCCAACATCTGCATTCTATGCTGTCGTGATCGATGAGGATTTCTCACAATGCAAAGAAGGGGTAAAAGTGATAACGTCTGCAATCCCCATGAAATCACCTCTTTTTGCCACTATGAAAAATGTGAACTACTTGCCTAATGTCCTCTCCAAAATGGAAGCCGAGGATAAGGGAGCATTTGCTTCTATTTGGGTTGACGAAGAAGGTTATATCGCCGAAGGTCCAAATGTGAATGTTGCTTTCATAACAGCTGAGAAGGAGCTTATCTTGCCTAGCTTTGATAAGATCTTAAGTGGGTGTACTGCTATGAGGCTTCTTCAACTTGCACCCAAGTTGGTCGAGCAGGGACGTTTGAGAAGTGTCAAAACTACTGACATCACGATCGAAGATGCCAAAAAGGCTGCTGAAATGATGTATGTTGGAAGCACACTTCCTTTATTACCTATCATCATGTGGGATGAGAAACCTATTGGAAATGGTAAGTCCACTCAACTACTTTTCTTCTCACTTCCTTTATAACAATAGTTGGTATGATGAGCACGCTTAATATGCAATATACTATATGGAAACCAGAAAACGTTGGCTTACCATTCTAGTTTATGTCCACCCATTGATAGTAAAGTTAGCTGCGTATGGATGATTTGTAATTTGCAAGCATCTGTGAGAAGAATAACATTGTTTATTGTGACAGGGGAAGTTGGAGAATTGACGATGGCACTCTCGGATGTACTCTGGGAAGATATGGAAGCTGGCCCAGAAACACAGAGAATTCCAGTTCCATATGTGTAGGAACTCAACTCAAATTAAAGAATATGCTCTGATAGAATGCTCTGAATGGATTTGAAATCAATGTTATTCTGTTTTCTAAGTAGTGGGTGGTAACAGCATTGTTGCATCACTGCTTCTTGGTTCTGTGGCACAGGAGTAGGTCTTAATAAGCTTTATTTGTGGAGGTTCCCCAGCATTGCATAATCAACTAAATAGTCTTGCAATGTATTGGTACATGTACTTTTCTATTTTTATGTTTGGAAATTGGAATCGATTGAAAGAATTAAGAATACTGCTCCAATCTTTTCTTTCTCCATACAATACGTTGTGCTCAAATGAATTTGTATTATTTTCCTGTGGTGTGTTAACCACTTCAACCTCCCAATTTGGCGTGGTAATCACTTAGATAATTGGTAATGGTTTCATTGATATGTTGTATGAATTAAGAAAAACAAAAGTAGTAATTTCTAAATAAAATAGTTACGATGCATTTCTTTATAAAGTTATATATAAATATGTTAGATATAAGCAAATGAGTAATACACATGGTATAGGTCAGAATTAATGACTAAAGATTTAATTGACTAAAGCAAGACCCTAACCATGGTTTAAGTAATTAATAACTTGTCCATAAATATATTAAAAACTTTTCTCTCTCTTCCTACTTTTTCTTTTCCTAAACAGTATCTATTTGCTTCTTTATCAGTTTACCCGATTATTTCTCCCATTTATTTAATCTCTTTTCTCCCTCTTCGCGCCAAAACAAATTTTGCATATTCCATACACAATTCACTGTAATTTTCTTTATTACAATTACAGTGATGCTATTTTTATTTTTGTGTGGAGTCCAAATAAAAAAAAACGTCAAATTACATCATCTAGAATTTCCTCACTACTTGAAGAAGTTGTTCAGTGTAGTTTTTTTGTTGTTGTTGGAATCAAAGGTAAAAACCTCTTTGTAGACGATGTAATAATTCTAATAGGGAATTTTTCTTGTCGGAGTAGGAAATGAGTTAAAATATAATATTAGATGTATAATTAGTTCATATTCAAAAGTAAATGGAATGAATTGTAGATACGTTATAATGATTGTTTTTTCACTTGGACTCTATGAAAGAGCAAATATACAGTGATTGTTTTTAACTTTGATTCCAACAAATTTATTTTAGTATATTTACGGACAAGTTATTAAATATTTAAACCATGGTTAGGGCATTGTTTTAATCAATTAAATCTTAGGCATTAATTCTAACATATGCCATGTGACAGAATAATAGAAAAAATGAAGAGGAAAAGCTCACCTCGAATGAGCTCTAATGGAGGATGAAGAAGGACATAGGCCTGGAACCTTCTCTTTCATTAGAAATGAACAGAGCTAAAAGTGTACAAGATATAAAATGTAAAAGTTGCTTAGTACAAAAAATATCTACGCCTATTTATACTGTGTACATGTGTACAGTTATGTACAGCTGTACCAACTACACTGCGACTAATCTGTACAAAGAATAAATACACACGTGTTCTCACTACCCCCCTCGAGTTGGAAGGGAGGAACTCACAGCCAACTTGCTAAGTAAATTACAATGTTTGATCCATGTAAGAGGCATGGTGAATATATCTGCCAGCTGCTCATGTGTGAAAATGGGATGTAATGAGATGAATCCCTCGTGTAGTTGATTCCTCACAAAGTGGCAGTCCACTTCTATGTATTTTATACGTTCATGAAATACAGAATTCTTAGCTATGTGGAGAGCTGCTTGGCTATCACAGAAAACCGAGACAAGTAATGTTAAGGGAACTGTCAATTCTTCAAGCAGCCTAAGTAACCACACTAATTCTCCCACAACTTGTCTAGCTGCTCTGTATTCTGCTTCTGCTGAGAATAATGAAATAGTGTGTTGTTTCTTAGATTTTCAGCTAATAGGGCTATCACCTAGCAACACAACATATCTACTAACTGATTTCCTTGACTCAGGGCAGGTTGCCCAGTCTGAGTCACAGAAGGCTTGAACCCTGTAGTTTTTGCTGTTGGATAGAAAAATCCCTAAGCTTGGATCACCTTTAAGGTACCTAAGTACATGGTATGCGACTTTCAGGTGTGGCTCCGTAGGACTCTGCATGTATTGACTCAAATGCTGCACACTATAAGATATGTCAAGCCTTATATTAGTTAAGAAATTTAGCTTTCCTACTAGTCTCCTATAGTGAGAAGGATCAGGAAGTAAAGACCCTTTATCTGCACTTAGCTTAGTTGAAGGGTTAAGTGGAGAAGTTAAAGTAGAGTACTTGGTGCAATCAAACTCTGTCAATAGATCCATTGTGAATTTCCTTTGAGATATTCGTACCCCATCATCCTTGTACAGAATCTCCAATCCCAGGAAATAATGTAGCCTTCCCATGTCCTTTATTTTGAAGGTCTCATGTAAGAAAGCCTTCAGTGCTTCTATTTCCTGTAAATCAGTCCTTGTTATTAGGACATCATCTACATAAACAGCCACAAACACCACTAAAGTTCCATGCTTCTTGTAGAACAATGAATAGTCGAGTAGGGAGTGTGTGTATCCTCTGGAACAGAGTGCTGCAGTCAACTTCTCATACCATTGCCTGCTTGCTTGTTTCAGACCATATAAGGACTTATTCAATTTGTACACTAAGCCTGGTCTTTCCACAACAAGACCTGGAGGTACTTCCATATATACTTTCTTATGGAGGTCCCCATGGAGGAATGGATTGTTGACATCTAGTTGGAAGATCTCCCATCCTTTCTTCACTGTTGTCCCAATTAGAGCTCAAACAGTTGTCATCTTTACTACTGGTGAAAAAGTTTCTGTATAGTCTATCCCTGCCTGCTGAGTGTATCCCTTTACTACTAGCCTTGCTTTAAATCTTTCTATGCTCCCATCTACTTTGTACTTCACCTTATATACCCATTTACAACCTATTGTTCTTTTTCCAACTGGAAATGGCACTAAACTCCAAGTATGGTTGGCATAAAGTGCTTCAAATTCCTGATTCATAGCTGTTTGCCATGCAGGATCAGCAGCTGCCTCTTCATATGAACAGGGCTCAGTCCCATGTAAAATGTTTTTAATCAATTGCTGACTATCAGAACTCAAAGCATTGAGTGAAACACATTGGGCATTAGGTATAGATACATTAAAAGAAAGTGAGGTAGTGCTTTGGTTGCTGCTGGAAGGAGAGTTAAGGTGGCTTGTCTGTAACTTGGGGAATGAGTAGTTATAATCTTTCAAATAGGTAGGGACTTTGAGAGTTCTGGAGGGTCTTCCTGATGTTTTATTAGGTTGTTGAATCATTAAGTTGGGAGTATTATTGGTAGATGTCTCATGCTGATTGTTGTCAAACAAGGTAGAATATTCTTCAAAGTTTGAAGTTGTATGAGAATTAGATTCACTCAGCCCTGGTGATGATGAGGAGTCAGGTGACATAGCTGGAAGATATGGACTAGGTGAACTAGGAAGAGATACTGACTCGTGAGGAGGAAACATGTCTTGTGCCAAATCTGAATTTACTCGTGGAAATGAGGGAAATACTCTATTGGAATCAGAATGCAAAGCAAAAGGAAATACACTTTCATGGAATACAACATCTCTTGATACATGAATTCTCTTTGTGACTAGATTGAGTACCTTATTTCCCTTTGTCCCAAAGGGATATCCCACAAAAATATGAGGTAAGGATCTTGCTTCAAATTTATCTTTGTAAGTTTTGAGGGTTGTAGGAAAACAAAGGCGTCCAAAACTTTTAAGGTGAGAATAGTTGGGTTTTCTTTTCTAAAGTAACTCCAATGGGCATTTGTTTTTGAGGGTAGTAGAAGGGAGTCTGTTAATCAAATAGGTTGAGATGAGAATGCATTCTCCCCAGTATTGCATGGGGAGTTTAGACTGATACAACAGTGCCCTGGCTGTTTCTAAAAGATACTTGTGTTTTCTTTCTACTATGCCATACTGTTGGAGCGTATAGGGACATGTTTTCTGATGTATAATGCCCTAGGACTGCAAGAAGGAAGCAGTCTCAGAGTTTATGAACTCAAGACCATTGTCAGTTCTAATGGTCTTAATGGAGCAATTGAATTGATTCTTTACCATGGCAGTGAAAGCCTTGACTTCCTGCAGAGCATTACTTTTGCATCTAAGCAGGTGTGTCCAAGTACACCTACTGTAGTTATCTACTAGGGTGATGAAGTACTTATGCCTATCATGTGTTGGGACATGATAGGTCCCCCATAAATCAACATGTAGGATTTCAAATATTTTGGTTGTGACTATAGTTCTTTCTGGAAAGGAAAATCTGTTTTGTCTAGACATTGGGCATATATGACAAATGAAAGGTTGTTTGAGTGAAAATGAACAAGTATGGATTCAATTCCTCTCATTTTGGCAAATGGTACACGTCCCAATCTATTGCGCCACAAGAGATCAATCATATATTTATCAAACATAGGTGCATTGTATGTAGAATTGGCATTTCCTTTACATTGCATATGAGAATTTGTGACAACTTTATTGCATTCGTGAGAAGAAGTGTGTGAAACAGAGTTGTGTGAACTAGGTACAACATGTGAAACAGAGTGTGAGACAATATTATTACTACTAGTTAGGCTAGATGGAACATCTGAAACAGATTTAGTGATTGCATCACCTTTATTAGATGAATTGGCATTAACCAAGGAATTAGACTTGCAGGAATCTGAGGTGTAAAGGTACATACCATCTTTACCTTTACCAGTTGCCAGAGGCCTCTTCAGTGAAGGGGACTGCAAAAGGATACAAGCAAATTTGGTAAATATAACAAAGCAATCAAGTTGAACTGTTAAGCAATGCATAAAAATTAGGCTGAATTTGAAACTAGGGACAAAAATGACTCTTTTCAGGGTGAAACTAGGACTCATGACTACATCTCCCATCAATGTCACCTTCACCTTATAACCATTAGGCAGTGTAACTAAGAGAGGGTATACTAGAGTTTTCACATTGGTCAACATGGATTTGTTATAGGTCATGTGATTTGATGCCCCAGAATCAAGTATCCACGAATCAACAATTGATCTAAAACACTCATATGAGTTAGTACCAGAATCAAAGGAAGTTGAGCAAGCTGAAATACCTGCAAAGTTCACAGCTCCTGCTTTCAGTTCATTTCCTCCATTTCCAGCATGAAAATTCTCCAGGATGCTCAGCAGTTGGTTATACTATTCCTTTGTAAGGTTTTGCATGGTTCGATCATGTTATTGTACTTGGCCATTGTCTACATATTCACCTTCAATGCCATTCTCACTTTGAATTCCATGTACATTGGCAGCAAGTCTCTTTCCTTTGTTGAACCTTGAATCTTATGGATAACCATGTAATTTGTAGCATCTTTCCTTAGTGTGACCTAGTTTCTTACAATAGTCACAAAAGGCCGGGGTCTGCTCCCAGAATATCCTCCCCTGTAGTTATTGTTCCCAGTTCTGTTTCCTTGTTGATTATAGTCTATATATCCAGCATTGTCTGAAGTATTTGATTGTTGATTATAGCTTGTTCTGAAAGAATTTCCTCCTGACCTATTTGCACTCAGGGCAGTAGATTCAATCCCAAATTAATTGTTTGGTTTGACCTCTCTTTGTTTCTCCTCTTGGATAAGGATTAAAAAAGCCTGTGCGAGTGAAAGCAACAGATTCATCATCAGAATACTCCCCTTACCACAGTATAAACTTCGTTTATCCCCATTAAGAACTGAATCAACCTTTTGTCATACTCAGCTGTCACGCCCCAAAACCGAGAAGCGCGACCGGCGCTCAACCGAGCGAACTCGACCGAGCAAGCCTGTTAGATTTTCTTCTACCCAAACTCATCCACGAATGAATATAATACATATTTTTTATTAATTAGACAAAAACGTGATCATGTCTATTATACCAATTCATTATTAATGGGTTTCATCATTTTTAAAGTCTCAAATAGGACAAGTAATATAACCACAACATAATATAGTTTGTCTTTTCCAGCACCAATATACAACCCACACTACGTCTACGAAGCCTCTATAGATAAAGAAGAGTTCAATGATGATGCCGGCAACAAGGCCCCGACTATACCTCAAACAGAATACACAAAGAACAAAAGATACATGACCCCGGGATCAAGTGGGGCTCACCAAGTCAGCTGAGAAGAAGGTGTACTGCTATCACTGATCAATATTTCCTATTGTGGAACCACCTGGATCCATTTAAGGATGCAGCGCCCCCGGCAAAAGGGACGTTAGTACTGTCGAATAGCACTAGTA